TTTAACCTGAGCACAGGATGGACAAACATAGCCGTTAAAGTGTAACAGTCCTTCCCCCCGGTCCAGAAGAACACTAGCCCTCATTCAGAAACTGCCCACTGTACCACAAGCCAACATCACAGACCTATAATAGACACAGGGTTAAAAGGAGGCCATTGAAAGGGACCTGTAGGTCACTGCTATATTTATAAACATTACTTTGCAGATTTTTTAGTGGCCTGACCACATATCCTGTAATTTAACCCTCTTTCACACACCCAGCACCACCCTTATGTAAACACTGTCACAGAGGATAGTGCTCCATTTTCCACCAAAGGGTCAGGTGACAGGTACAGTCTTGAGAACAAACGTATAGTATAGTGCAGGGATGGCGAACGCCAGTCCTGGAGAGCCGCAGCCCTGCAGAGTTCAGCTCCAACCCTAATAAAATCTCACCTGCCTGTAGCTTCCTAGTAACCCTTCAGACCTTGATTAGCTTGTTCAGGTGTGTTTGATTAGGGTTGAAGCAAAACTCTGCAGGGCTGCGGCTCTCCAGGACCGACGTTCGCCACCCCTGGTATAGTGCTTTCACAAAAAGGCTCTTAAGAAATCATTCTGAACATCTCTTATCGTCTAGTTCTCCTACAAATTCATGGAGAAGAGACCTCCTGTTACATTTTGTATGCATGCTTCGTTTAAGCCATTGCAAAGTCATTAAAATAGCCATTTATAATGTACAGAGTAGACCTATCAAAAGTTTGGGGTAAGGTTTTTTTTTTTTTTTTGAAAGAAATTAATACTTTTATTCAACAATGAAGCATTACATTTACAAAAAATAAATAAATAAATTAATTAATTAATTAAAAGCATTTACTATGTTACAGAAGATTTCCATTTTAAAGGTGACATATCATGAAAATCTGACTTTTTCAGGTTTTAAGTGCTGTAATCAGGTCCCTGGCGCATCTACCAACCAAGGAAACGTGAAAAAGATTAACCCAGTAACTTTGTTTTGGTAAGCCTTTTTTGCAAGCATCTGAGAAAACGAGCGCGTCAGATTTCGCTCCCTTGGTGATGTGGCAAATGGATCTCATTATAATATTACCGCTCCTTAATCTGTAAGTTTCCACCCACAGTGCCGTCATTTTGATTTTGCAAGCGACAACAGTGTACCAGTTCTAATGCCACGACGAAAGTTTGAGCAAAACATGCTAACTGTTCTGTCTTTGGCTGCACAGACGAGCACAGAACACTATTTAGAGTCCCAGCCTCAGAGGAGACAAGAGAGCAGTGGATTTATTGATTTATTTAAGATGTTTTTAGCAGGTCTGAGCTGTAATGGCGCAGCTCTATTCTGGAAAAGGGGGCGGGGACACAGGCCCGAAAAACAGAGTGTTTCTGCTTCCACTCAAAATAGGCATTTTCAAAATGATATAATAAATGATCTGTGGAGTACTTTGAGCTGAAACTTCACAGACACATTCTGGGGACACCAGCGACTTATATTACATATTGTAAAAAGGGGCGTAATATGTCTCCTTTAAACAAATGCTGTTCTTGTGAACTTTCTATTCATCAAAGATTCCTGAAAAAAAGTATCACCATTTCCACAAAAACATTAAGCGGCTAAATTAGATTATATTTATATTAAATATATATTAAAATACAAACAGTTATTTTAATTTGTAAAAATATTTCACAATATTACAGTTTTACAGTATTTTTTATCAAATAAATGCAGCCTTGGTGAGCAAAACAAAGACTTAAGACTTAAAAAAAAAAGAAATAAATACCTTAAAACTTTTACAGACCCCAAAGAGTAGTGTATGTACATTTTAGCTTTTAACTTTTGCTCAGATTAATATACTTTATACCTAAAATATATAAAAGTAAACTTTTGTTTAACATATTTTTATTGCTTCACAAAAATTAGTTTGAGACAACAACCACAATTGGCGGGTGTCATGCTGTACCACCCTTGACCTTGACCCAATAGGAGTCACAGACTCCTGTCTTATCAAACGTGAGCATGTGATTATTCTTCCTTTTTATTGGAGATATCTGCAAAGCTGGGCTCTCTTTTCCACTCCTCCACCACCTTCCTCCGCTCCTGCCAACATCTGCAGCTCCTCTGCCAACACCAATATCCACCTTTCCCTTTTACTCACTTTCTACACCCCCCTTTATACACTCTCTCTGTTTTTCTTAATCAGTCTCTTTTCACTGGATTTATGCTTTGGCAACATCCAACTCCAGAACCTGATGAAAGGAAATGTGTGCCTCTAGAAACATTGCTGTAAAGATCAAAACTCGCCAGCAGAAGCATTCCCAGCAGAATTGTAGTTCATTTAAAATTTACATTTGAGAAAGTTTCAAAAGTTTACTCACAAGCTGTGCCCAAGCCCCTATTGACTTTTATTACTTGGAAAAGAGAAGTCTGGATATTCTGCAGAAATTCTCTTTTTGTTTTCCACAAACAAAAGAAAGTTCGATAGGTTTGGAGTGACGTAAGAGCAAGTAAATGGCAAAATTTATGTTTTTGGGTGAACTACTCTATGCATTGTCTTCTAACGGAAACTTTGCGCTACTTTGACCAGTAATGCCCAGAGTGATGATGACTCATGAGCACAGCTTTAGTTACATGTCATTTTATTAGCATTTTACAGATGCTAATGCGTGTAAACTTTTATTGCCCTCAGTCACATCAGCAGTGAGGTCGTTTTATGAACACACATTAATCAGAACTCAGGCCTTGTTTATGATAGCTGACAGCACACGGGGGTCTGCATCCCGTCAAGCAAGGTTCAGCACAGACCTTTCTCTGAAGGTTGTCTGTCTGGAGCTGGAAAGATCCTTGTCATTATGTTTGGAGAGATATGAGTGCTGTAGGTGAAGAGGCTTCAGATGCAGACAGCTTCTTCTCTCTTAGCTGGGAGTAGTCTAGGCCTTGGGCTGCCAGAACAGTCTGACACATGTCACCTGTACTTCCTGACTGCTCACTTCTGAAGAAACCGACTGAATGGATCATCTGTGAGGATGCCAAAACTACAGTCAAACGAAAATTGTCCAGTATCACTATATAAACTATCTTCCAACCTCTGTGTGGGAATAACAGGCTAGGCAGTTTGAGGAAAAAGTGTGATCACTTTTATCACTTTCTTTGCATTATTTATTACCTGTTTTCTAGTAGGCCTACTAGGGATGCTACTTTGAAACTAGTTTGCTATGCTAATCAAGCTAATCATGATTTCAGTAGTTAAAATACAATTCACTGAAATAAAATCTAGCTGTTTCACAGCTGTGACCGTATACTTTCTGTGTTAACACTGTCTGATATCTATGAAAACATTTGTAAAATCAGGCAATATTAAATTCCGTTTATATCACAGGCTCACACAGGCTCTGGTGAGTGTCATAGTGTTCACTTAATAATAATTTAATCAGCTCATATTAATTAGGGTGGCAAATTAATAATAATAATAATGATGATAATTTGTTGTGCTACATTGCTAATTGTTTGGAGTTAATGGCTTATTACTGGAAGAAACACATTTTTAAACAGTTATTTTAGTATTATTTATATAGTTTTATAATACTTAATATTTTTAATTAGCTTTTTTTCAGTTTTCATTAAAATTTTAGTGTATGTACAGCAAATCTTTGTGCTTTTGTCATTTTAAGTTAGTTATTAGTTTAAGTTTTTTTAATATTTAGAAACATATAAAAATATTTATATTTTCATTATACATATTTGTATATAAATATTCTATATATTTTATTATTAATTATTCTTTCTTTATAGCATTAATTAGTCTTTAATCTATTATTTATTATTTATTTTATTTCAGCTTTATTTTAGTTACCGATTTTTACACGATTTAGTTGTAGTTAACAATAACCTTTCTTTTGAAAACAGAATTACTGTCATGCTACTGCGAAATGTAGTTAAATTCTACTAAACTGTCTACTTATTGTTAGTTAGGCTAGTCTCCAATAATGATATTCTCATTCTTTTCCATGCATTTTATAGGCAGCATTTTCAGCACACGAGTCAGCACAACCAATGGAGGGATGTGGAGAAATACAGTTCCTCTATGTCAGTCTCCTGTGCCAGATATTTGAAGCGCTCAGAGGGAAATGTGATAGGATTGGCAGAGAATTCCAAAACCCATAACCTGCCAGAGAAAGGAAGTCGCTGAACAGGCTTCACACACTGTCTTCATACAGTCCACATCTGCCTCGGCCGGGCACCAAAACAAAGTCAACATTTAATTTGAAATGAAGGAAACTTTGTATGGATATGAAATAATGGAAGGATCAAGGCATGGAAAACTATGAAGTTATTTTTTCATTAGGACTGAATGTTGCCTGTGGGCTGTACACAGAGAGAAAGAGAGAGAGATCTAATGTGCGCCCATTAGGTAAAAGGATGATGCAATGACTAATTAGATAATTGAATTATTTGATTGTAATCAGCAGGAAACTATTTGGATAGCTTGATCATGGCGAGTAGGAATCACTCCAAAAAATATGGATATTTCAAGGTAACTAAACCGATTTTCTGCATCATTCTAATCCCATTTTAGCACAGCCACATTTTAAAGTATGTCTCTATGTTTTTTAAGTGTTTGGATGTTTACCTCCAATCAACAAACCAAGGACAAACCTAGTCTGAAGTGCTATCAGCCAAATCAGAAATATGTTTCCCACTGAGAAATTGCATGGTCAAGATTTATTGTACAAGATCAGTTTTACGGCTGTGGACCGTAATAAAATACTACATACATTTATAACATAGACTATAACTTTGTAAAATTATTCCCCTAAGATTGTTGCATTGATATTTGTCTAATCTTTGCAATAACTTTAGTGATTTTAGTTTAATTAATTGATTCAAAATCACAATAGCACCAAAATAACACGAAATAGATTAGGCCTGAAGTGTTTCTATCTCTGTTTTCTGTTAGCCAAATACAGCACATCAAGAAAATCTCACCATGGACTCTTTCTCTTGCAGATAGTGCCGTGATTTTTCTGGGAACCTCAGCTGGCTCAGCCATTTAACCAGCCAACCGCATGTGAATAAGATTACGGTAATGGTCTACATAGGACTTTTCGTCTTGGGAACATCCAAAGTAGATGTGAAGGCAAGGTTAGTGCCCAAAGCGATGGTCTGTTGGGAGGTGAGATGACTCAAATGTGTCTCGCAGTGATTTCTGACAGAACTGAAAAAATGCCTTGGTGGCAGTTTTCAAAGGTTACAGTTTTTGTGATCATATTTACACAACTGAAATAGCACTGGGGGAAAAAAAAAAACTTCATGAGTTCAGCAAAACAATCAAATCACAGATTAATATCTAGGGTGAGGTCTGAGGGAAACTTCACCTTTTAATAACTGAAACTATCAACTCATGATATTATCGATCAGCATGACTTGGAGGCTATTGATTTTGCTATTATTGTGTTTTCTAAAGTTCTAGCAAGGTGACACAGGGGGCTCAAACTCCATCCTACCCAATGACCCCACGCTTCCACTGGACGAGTGCAGTTGATAAAGGATGTAAAGATCCGCTGCCCCTTGGCCTTTATAGATTAATGAATATGAGCAGTCAGCACCTCTCATCTCCATTTCCAATGATTTACATCAAGTTTAATGAGCTTGCCAGGGCCAGATAAGACACTCACAATGACTTTTGGGTCTGCTGTATGCATTATGTCTGTTCTAGCAGCTTTGCTCATTTAAAGAGAGTTAGGTTGCTATTATAATAAAAGTTATATTTTGTAGGGCATTCCATTTTTAAATGAAAGCATCTGTTAAATGTACTGAGGTTGTGAGATATGCAGAGAACCTGAAAAACCATTGAAGCCTTTTGTTTAGTATTTCAAGTAGCTTCTGAACAAATCCAGAGATTGTATCAGATCACATTGTGAAGATCATCCATGCAGCTGGACGAATGCCTTGAATTTGATGTTTTCGTTTATCATTAATTACAGCTGTGTTTAATGTGACAGTCTTAGCACAAAGTGTATCACAGTGCTGACTGATAAAGACTTGGCTCAGAGGACTTGGCCAAAGCTTAGCCCTTGATCCAGAGTCATGAGCAGGTCAGAACAGTCTGGACATGCATGAAGGCCAAATGATCGGCTCCAGGAATAATATCAGACTTTCTCTACCGAAACAAATGCGGGTTTCCGCATCCCACTGATTCTTAAGACATTTGTTTTAAAAATAGGAATATTTACTTTGAAATTAATCTGAATTTAATCACAAAGCACCATTTTATTTATTAATTTTTTTACTTGATATTATGACGTTATCCTTTTCTTTAAAAGCATCTGTCCCCTGAGCTTAGTTCAGTGCTTTGTACATAGATAGCAATATATTTTAAACGTAAAGCAGAAATGTATGCATCTTTAACCAGAACATAGTACACACTGTTGTTTTAATTTTAAAATACAGCACATATAACGGGTTTCACAGCTGTGTATTTTCTGTCAACACAGGCTGATATTTATGAAAGCATTTGTAAAATCAGGCAATACTAAAAGTAAGTTTACAGCCTGAGGGTCCTTGACAAGGTCACACAGGCTCTGGTGAGTGTCATAGTGCTTTTTATAGACATAGTGGTGTCATAATGTTAGGTATCTTCTATTTTTGCCAACACCCAAAATGTGAAGAAATTGTTTTGGACATTTAGATAATTTTCCTAATTTTAAATGTTTATTATTATTATTATTATTATTATTATTATTATTATTAGCTAATGACACCAGAAAACTGAAATGTTATGATTAGTCAACACCGTAAACTGCCAATCCAGTCTGGTGATGGAGACAAATCAATACGATGTAGCTGAAAATCAGTTTGAAACCATTCTAGTCACAATTCATTCATTAAAGTGAGTTATAGTTTATACTAAATATTTGACATTTCGGTAACACTTTATTTGAATGTGTCCATGTTACACATGTTACATGTACTTACTATTATAATAACAATTAATTATGCATAATTACATGCAAGTAACCCTAAGCCTAACCCATGACACCAGAAAACTGAAATGTTATGATTAGTCAACACCGTAAACTGCCAATCCAGTCTGGTGATGGAGACAAATCAATACGATGTAGCTGAAAATCAGTTTGAAACCATTCTAGTCACAATTCATTCATTAAAGTGAGTTATAGTTTATACTAAATATTTGACATTTCGGTAACACTTTATTTGAATGTGTCCATGTTACACATGTTACATGTACTTACTATTATAATAACAATTAATTATGCATAATTACATGCAAGTAACCCTAAGCCAAACCCTAACCCTAACTATATAAGTACATGTAGTTAATTAATATTACTCAGTACTTATATGTATAATTACACTGTAACAAGGACACCTATTTGTGTATCTAAGAGTGTTGATCCATATTTTAAGGAAAAAAGTTAGAGATTGCACTAAATGTAAATGAATACATGTAGCTTGTTTTCCCCTAATGTTTCAAAAATTAGTAAACTACAATTTATGCAGCAAATGTGCAGCCTTTTAAATCTGAAGTATGTTTACTTGGCTATAACCAATAATAAAAACTCCTGAACCCACAAATGAGAAAAATACGCAAGAGCAGAGACTTGAACAAAATATTTTCTTTATTCTGCAAGAGAACTGAATATTGTGGAGTTCCATTGAGTATATACATGTTCACCTCATAACAAATGGAGCGTCTACAACCAATACAAACTATCGTAACAGATACAAGAAAATGTTTCGTGGTGGAAATCATAACTGAAGCATACCGATAAGTCTGAAGCAACAATGAGTTTCAAATACTGAGACAGAGGATTTCTGTCATTTCTTGTTCTCTACATGCAGAGCGAAGTATCTCATGTCCTTTTGTGCCATAACTTGTCTAAGACGACATGGAACACTCGCTATAGAAGCATAAATGGACCGGAGCCGGAGCAACACGATTATTTTCATTGCAGTGTTGTTGTTTTTTTGGACATCGAGAGCCCGTGGCTTATTGCTCAAGCTGAGTCTATAAAAGTCCAGAGATGAAAACTGCTGGTGTTAAGGAAATATTTAGATTTATGCAGAATAAAAGTGAGTACTCAGTCAATAAGGTCTGAGTGTGAAGAAAACACATTTAAAGGTCTCAGGTGAGATGCATTTATACGTTACTGAGTCGGTACAGGTTGTGCAAACGGTACTGAACACACTGTTGTCTATTGCTTCAGCTCCTCTGTCTCAGTTTTTGTGAGCATCATTTTGCTTTTAGTCACTGCAGCAAAGGGCTCCAACTTTTTTCAGCTGAAAAAGCAGACTTTTTTTCCATAAGCTCTATTAAAATTTATATTTGACTACACCATAAACAGACAATTAACAGTTTTTGGGTAAGAACACAAAAGACTCCCAATGAGAATCACAACATATTCAAACCTGACTGCAAATAAAACTTTGCAGAACTGCACTAGGCGCAATAGCCAGTGCTAGTTAACAGTCCGGAAATAACCTTAGCCAGGTCTTCTAGTCATAACACCTGCTTTGTACAGAGTCTAACTGAAAACTCAAGCGGCTATGAGTCAAGAAAGGTTGTTTTGGTACATGTCCAAACCCTCTGAGCTTTGGAAGCAATGCACCGTTGATTCTGATGGCTTCTTATAACGTGTGAGCTTCCCCCATTTCCACTTCAATACAAAAAAAGTACAGCACTTTAGTAAATGTCTCTCATACGAATTCCCAATGCAATGCTTTTTATGTCCCTGAAAACTTTCAGAAGAAAAAAGAAAAAAAAAATATTTCATGCTTTCTTTAGTATAGGAACAAAGAAAGCCAACAAGCCCCACTGCTTTCTGCCCGGCAGAGAATGACAATCACATTTTTCCCTAAACAAACCATACATTTCTGTGTGGTATAAGGTTGTGTTTTCTTTATATGGATTTTACAACACAGAAAGAAAAAGCAACAATGACTGCAGCTGAATGCAAGACAAGCTGAAGCGGCATAGAAACACTTGATTTTGGTAACTTTAGAGGTGGTTTAGTGACCTAATGGACAAATTAATAAGGAATAACTAAGGCACACACACACACACACAGCATTTAGCTTTTACAAATAAGTGAGTGCAAAAATGAACTTTAGCTTTAGGACACTGTTCACTTTGAGGCTTAACAAAACTACATTTCATTTAGGTAAACAAATTGTCATCAGTCTTTTTTTTTAAATGGCAGAAAATGGACCCCCAGTCAATCCACAGTGAACCCTTCAATATGTGAACAGTAATAAAGACATTATTTTGCCAGACAAGTGAGGGGCTATCGATAGCAACCCAAAAACTAAGACACAACATTGAGAAAATAAAATGAACCAAACTTAAATCTTTGGTCTCGATGCCTAGCAAAATGCTAATAATCATAACAAAAAAAGTAAAAAAAATTTTTTTTTTTCAAAACAATTAAATCAATATCATCATGTACGAACATGGCCTGAATTGTTTAACACAAAATAACTTTGTGACCAGTCTAATAAAGGACTCTAAAACTCTTCAAATATGTGTGCTATACTGGACTCCAATAATCATTTTTGAGCTCTGTGAACAAATAAGCCCCTTTACTTTCAACAGTACACACAAGTTGAGTTCCAGTCTTAAGAATAAACAAGTTTATACTCAATCCACTCATGCCATAAAAGGGAATTCCTGTGTTTTAATAAATGCAGCTATGTATTAAAGACATTCAACGGTGAGTGATGCAAGAGTTCAAGTAATAGACAGGGGGCCCATCTGGGGCCCAGCTTCAAAAAACAAAAAATATTAATCCGAAACTCAAAACATTGAGAGGATAGAATAAAATGAATATAAAGCTGGACCTATGCTATAGAACATAGTAACCAAAAACTTTCCACATAAAAGATGGCAACACCAAGGCTGCAAAGACGTAATCGTGAACGGTGGCATACACAGAACTAAAATCAAGCAGCTGATCTGCTGAAGCTAGCATGTTCTAAATTGCGAACGAGTTCAGGTCATGCCACAGCGATGCTTGATCAGACAAGACAAGAACACGGAGTTCTGCCAGTAACACCCAATCAAACCGCAGTATTTGCAATGGCAAACGAAAGAGCAACTGAAATGAATAGTGGATGGGAAAAACCTCCATCAGTTGCCCTGTCTGCATGTGGTTTTCATTAGGACTCCAGGTTGTAAGTTCATCTCAACAGCTGATCTGACTGAATACTCTGTCTGGTTCCCATCATCACCAAACTAACCCACCAACCATCCAACAAAAGACTCCAACTAAAGTTTTCCGTCTCAAATAACAGAGATCACTTCAGAAACTAATAACAGTCTCATGAGAAACCACAACTATTTTATGATTTGCCGATTTTGTATGAAATGTTACATGTTGCTTCATTTGAAAACTTATAATTTTTAGAAAAAAGGATGAAGTTCCAACCCAAACCTAATTAATTGTAAATGAGGTATAAGCAGATCGTACAAAAAGGAACAATTGTTCAAATTCGTCACCAATTTGCCAAAACATAAAATAGTTAGGAATTGCCATTAGAGTGTTTTGACAAATAATGTCATTAAGTTTTCTGTTGAATTCACTATATGCTGCTTTCTAATGCAGCATGCTGTGCATTGAGTGAGTTGGGTAGTTGCAGTGGTAGGTGAGGGCGGTCTGTGCTGGTTAATGGCCTGTAAAACTGTATCAGTCTGCTGTAGCTCTTTCAACATATGACCAAATTGTAAAAAGGGGAAAACTGAGGATAAAAAAAACAAAAAAAACAATTGAACTTACTCAACTGGACACCTGCATGCCAGAAGCCCAACAAAAAACAGGAAGTGATATAACTGAGGTACTGACAGTGAATATTGTGCATAAAGCTTTGAATATCTTTTCATCAAGGTTTTATTGTGCGACATTAAAACCAACAGGCAGCCAAACAATGAAAAGTGTATTTTCTCTTTTCTGATACAGAATGAGTCAACCTGCTAAAAAGAGAAGCACTAAGCAATAAAGATGCTTTTTTTAAAGGAAATTCTTCAAAAGGTTCAAGTGATTATCGCTTTTTGATGCCACAGAGCAGTTTGTTTCTCTTTCTGACAGACCACTTCACTACCATCAAAAGCTGGATTGCACTTTTTTTTTTTTTCAAGTTACGTACTAAAGCACATCTGCTCTGACACTGCTCCCGCTTGCTGAAGAACTTTTTTTTTAACATATGTTTGACAGGTACACAAATCCAATTAAGCATTAAGGGGTCACATTAGTTAGATCATGAGTTGTTGTTCTTTCAAATTTGGGGCTTGTCATTTCTAAGTGCTTTGTCAACTGTGTCTGTGTCTGTGATTTTGGTTCTTAAAAAAAAAAAAAAGGTACAAGTGAAGCTTCCGTTCACAGGACACAGATCCAAACTATTTTATGTAGTTTGCAAACAAGGTGTATTAAGTATAATTTCAATGGGCCAATTTTATCACAAAAAGTAAAAAAAACTACAAAAAAAAAAAGTCCTCCCCATGCCAACTTTGGTCTCTGCACTGAACTGTAACAATATTAACTGCTTAAGAAATGACAACTTTTGATCCAGCCAAAAAAAATAAAAATAAACACCCCTCTAGAGTTAGTGTTAAAACAAGCTTTTGTTTTTAAGACTACAACACATTTTCACTTGTGCCCTCCCAAACATCCCACAACCCCTCGTTCAGCAGCAGTCACTGTGAGATCACTCTGGAAAGTGTCGGTCGTCTGTTTGCTACATAGTTTTTTGCCTTTTTTAAACACAAAGAGAGAGATGGAGACATCTAAAACTAAATATTTTCCTGCTTTACATATAGTTAAGAATTTTGCAAAGACAATACAAAGAAAAAAAAAACAATCATCTCAATGAAAAATAGAAAGATGTGAGAAAAAAAGGCAGGAAAAAAAAGCTTGATCTAAAATGGAGCATGTAAAAAGTCCCAGCTGGAGTTTAGGTAGCAGCGCGGATCACCTGAAACTCGCCTCCTCTGCTTCCTGCTTGCTTTTTTTCTTTTTCTTTTTTTTTTCACATTCACAAACATTTCAAACTTCCTTGTGCAAATCAAGCAGTCTTTAGAAAGAATGCCCTCCAAATTGTTCTTGTAAAAATATATAACTCCAAGGTGGCTGACGTGTGTGTTACAGCAAGTGTTTTTTTTGTTGTTGTTGTGTTTTTTGTTCAGAAACTGTTCCCCGCTTCCATGAGTATAGAGAGTTTAATTTTGGGGGGGGGCGAGTCTTCATCTCCGTGGGCCTGAGGGCATCTGTGCATACACTGGGTACGCCAGCCGCACATTGAGCGAGTCGTTGTGCTGGACCAGTGAGGTCTGGTGGTAATGCAGGACCAAGTCTTTCAGAGTGCTGTACAAGTTGTAGGGCTCAGCGAAACCGTAGCCGCGGGGTGTGCTGTAGATGACACAGTGCTTCACCTCGCCGTCCACACTACAGACAGAAACATGACAGATCTCATTATCAATGCGAGACCCAGAATCTGACCTCAGACAAAGATAAAGGCAATCCGTTTGCTCAATGACAACCAAAGTTAATATCGCTCTAGAGGTGACTGATTCAGCATCACAGAACATAATCAAAGAGGATCAATACATTGATGTTTTTACAGATCTCCTTGATACGTCTCTGGACCTGGGAACATTTCAGCTACATTGCTGTCTATGCAGGGTCAGACAGCTCGCAGATTCCATCAAAAATATCTTAATTTGTGTTCCGAAGATGAACGAAGGTCTTACGGGTTTGAAATGACATGAGGGTGAGTAATTAAAGACTGAATTTTCATTTTTGGGTGAACTAACCCTTCAATATTGAAAAGTATATGAAAAATACAACTAATTTTATTTTATATTGAAACAGAGGAGATGGGAAATTATTAGGTGGCAGAGAATGGAAATAGGAGACCAGATCTGAACCTAAGCTAAGGTGAAGGAGACACAAAGAAAACAATGTATAGACTGAAATGGCCTTAATGGTAAAGGTTTAATGCAAGTTTGTCATTTAGTATAAGATTGTGAACATAAATGTAATTTTAATTCTAAAACTATATGGCATTTTTCTAAAATAGACAAACTGTAAAATTGACTTGAAAAATGGAACAAAAAAGACCTAGGCCACGGAGGTTTACAGTCAAAGAAAACAATTTGTTGACATTTGAAGAAATAATCATTCTCCCATTTCATTGCCATAACTTTCACCTCACCGTCTACATCATCTTAAGATACTCACACAACAGAGCAGGCGTAACAGCCCTTCTTGCTGCTCTCGCGGATGAGGAAGGCTCCATCGGGTTTGCCGTGTAGCAAGTCCTCTGCCTGCGTTCGGTTAAGGTCCCCCACAAACCAGCTCTTCTCATCGTAGTGTGGCAGATTCTCATCCTCCTCACTGACGAAGTAGGTGCTGTGATTTTGAGAGGGAATGTGTTAGATGCTGTGATGGAGGCAGTCATTTATCAAACCTGTGGTCTCAAATATATAACAATTTGACTTACTCATCCGTGTTCTCGTTTTTAATCCCCAGCCAATCGTTTATTCGTTTCTGTCGAACACCTTTATGATTGAGCCAACTGCATGAGAAAGAAGCAATGAAGTGTTTACACATGGAGAAAAAAAAACTGTCAACTCTAACAGAACAATGATGATGACGAAATGAACTGCAAAGAAAGGATAATCTTACACAAGGTACTGATCTCTAATCTTTCTGAGCTGAATAAGATCTGGCTTCAAGCTGTTCATTTTCTTGTCCGTCTCCCTGTTGTCTAGAGCCTGTGTTTTCAGGTCCTGTTCAAGCCGGGTCTTACTGTCGTGAATCTCGCCAAGACGGGATTTGAGCTTCTCATAGTTCATCATAATCCTGAGAGAGAAACAAGAACTATTTGTAAACCCATAGATCAAGGCTGCTGACCAGAGTGCTCTTAATTGAGGACTTTGCGTACCTTTCAATCTCTTTGTCATTGCCCTCTCTGCGGAATCGCTCAATGTATTCTTTACTGTAGCGTTCCTGCGTGTGACACTGCTCTTCAAAAATGTTAATGGTCTCATTGAAGGCCTCTATTGCAGTACGTTTCATCTGGATCTCCTGCAATCAAAGGAAAGATAAATCAATGGATGTGATGCGACCTCAAAAGGGCTGTGCCTCTTAATAGACTTGGTTAACTGGTCAATGGGCTTCTGTAACGGAATAAATTGTTTGTGTCCATGTTGTGCATGTGGCGTTTAGCACTGCAGTTAATGGGTTGGATGTCTAGCGATCCAACAGTGATGTTCTAAGAGGCTTACCTGTGAGGTTTTTGTGTGCTCCTCATAGAGTCTGTCATATTCTTTACTCTTCTCCTGATATTGATTGTGATATTCCTGGAGTTTCCTCCCCACTGCATCAATGTTGTCCTCTTTCACCAGCTGATCCTGAAAGAGCAAGAGTAAATGCATTGTTATTGGTATGAATGGCTGAGCGAAGAAAAGTGAGATGGGAAAAAGGAGGTTTTGCTTACAAAGTGAAAGCCAATTTTCTTCCAGGAATCATTAATAAAAATCTTGGAATCTGTAAGTACCTCTCGAGGGCTTACATTTGTGGAACCCCCTAAATAATGAGCACCTGTGTGTCTGAGAAAGATACCTGGAGGGAGGGGGGAGGGGGGGTATTGGAGAATAAATGCCTGGATGGCCTTTCGACATTGTGGATGTGTGCAATTATTTAGGAGGTGCGCTGCTGTGGCAATAAACAAAGTAATATTTCATGCCAAAAGCATCCTGCTGCCTCTGCAGTTTCACTCACAACAAGCTGCACAATTCATTCAGCAAACACGCTCTTTAGGGCCGGAGCGAGGGAGGTAGAGGTGGGTGGACAAAGAGGTAAAAGGAAAGGAAGGGATGGCTGTAAATGTGATACCCCCACCAACAAACTAAACCCATTTACCTGCTGGTAGCGGGAGACAGGATACATGAGCTTTACGTCCAGTTTGGTGTTGTACTGGGCCAGTGACTCGTGCCTGTAGTGACTGATGAGCTCCACCACTGAGCTGAATGTGAGCGGGTCTGAGAATCCGTACTTCCCATCCCGATGATAGATCTTTATTAGCTTATTGTTTCCACCTTTCCTGTAGGAAAAAAAAAAAAAGAAATTGTGTTGGACCACAGATCAATATAAGATGAATGGAGAGGTTTTAAACCGTATCAAAAAGTAGAAGTATTCTAAAATATTTCGAGTTACCTTAGCGTTAGCGTGTAATCTCCCTGCATCTTGGTCGAGGCGTCCCGTACCAGGAAAGTACCATCAGGCATGTCTCTCAGTTTGTCGTTCACCTCTTCCCTGCACAGAAAAGAGTGAATGGTGCAATTACTCCACACATCAAATCTTGCTCTTAATAATTAATAAATTACAGCTAAAATAAGTTTCCGTGGACCCTGTCCTTCACTCCTTGGAAATGGCTGACACACAAAAAAACGTGACTTCTCTTTGCCTGGCTGTATAAATAAATTTGGTCTGGCAGAGGGCAAAGGCACTGGTCTGTGAACATACTGCCTGCTACAGAGAGAGTGAGACATCTTTGAATGGTTTAACTGTTGACCCCGTCCTGCACGCCCACATGTACACTGATGTCTCCAACTCTTGTCTTGAAATCAGACAGTCGGTCTCTTTAAAAGTGCCTCCAGACGGCCAGCGGCGCAGCTGTCAGGCTTAAAAGACTTTCCTGCTTTTTTGCAGCCTCCTCCATTTTAGTCTAGGAGGAATGTCACACCCCTTGACTTCCAGGCCTCCTCCCATTCTCCTGACAGCCAACAGACTAGTCATGCTGGAGCTCAGCAGACCCCGGCCCTGGCTCTCAGGAGGGGGTATATTTAGCCTACTTTGGGCTGCTGAGGTAAGGAACCTTTGACTAAGCAATGCTCCCACATTTCAGGAGTCCTCTCTGCAGTGAGAGCTGTGGGAATCAGGTACATTTTTAGGCTGCAGTGCATCAGCAAATTCATCATTTAGGGGAGGTGCCCTATTTTAGTAACGAGATAAATTTCACAAACAATTTTGCTTCTGTAATGTGATGTAATTAAATGAAAAAAAAAATCTTAATCGCTTAATCATAACTGTTTATCAAGACATTATCAAGACATTTTTATCTGTGTAATAACAGGCACAGATGAATTTTGCACAGTAAATAGTACATATTACAAAGAGAGTCAATTTTGATTTCATCTAAGCTCAAGCCTAGAAGAAAATCTGGAATCCAAGACAGGCATGCAGATGATTAACATGGCTGAGAATCATTACTATGTACTCAACTGAAACTGTGTGCCCAGTGATTTAAATCTGATCTCTCAGAAGTCAAATTTCTCCATGCACTACCAATGCTTTAACCAAGTACTTGTATGGTTGTATAGTACTATAGTATAACAGGATTTTGACACACATAAGAACATTATTCAGTGAGACCATAATGACAGTCCATATTTGAAATTCAACGGTCAGCATCACTTTGCTGTGGCGTTCTTCTTTATTTGATGCCTAGAGTTTAGTTATTTTCTGATTTTGAAACTAGTAAGCACTGAGGACAGGGTTGAAGTAAAGCTAAAAGCAGCTCTGGTTTATCTGGGAAGGGACTGTGTGAGTTAAAGGATAGCAGGGCTTCAGAGATCAGTGAGCCTGTGAGCATCTCTGCAGAATTTCTACTCGCCCAACATCAAACGAGTCTAAAGCTGGTCACTAAGCAGCAAACTAATCTGCTAAAACCTGAGAGTTTTATGGGTTGTGTTGGAAACTGGCCAGACGGCTTGACATTTTGGAGATTTGGGTTCTTCCCCGCCCCCATACTGGTCAGCTATCACCTGACTTACACACTGCCATACGTGTCCACCACATGATGAGGGCATCGTCACACTATAAGCTAACTGGCATGAGGAAACATTTTCAGAGCAGAAGAGACAGAAATCCAATCAAGTGAGAAATGAAATCTAATGTCAAGTGACTCTTACCTTGATATGTCTCCCCAGTACCATTCTGCTTCTTGCAATGAGCCGCTGGCGACTTCTTTCACACCGTTGCCATTTACTGGTGTCATGGGTTTTGTTGGCTTGGGAGGAAGAGCTGCAGAAGAAATGAGAGATTTATTTTAACGGAAAATCTTCTAACCTCATGAGCAGTCCTACAAATATGAGGTTGGTTTCACCTTACAGATGAAAACCTAATCTCCTTAAAGACTACACTAAGTGGACACCATGTTAACAAATGGCTGCATGTTGTTCATGCTCATGAATAAGTTTATGCTGCTAAGAGAATCCAAAATTGAGCTTAAATTGCAAAAAAGGTAAGAATACAATACAGATGCAGGTTACCACCCAGGATTAACTATTGACCTTTAGCCCTTAAATTTTCCCCATGGATGGCCTTTCAATACTCTCCTCCAACCTGTGACTCCGTCACGCCATCTGTAGTTAGACGAGTTTGTTTCGGAAAATGCAACAGTGATTTCCACTGAAAATGCAAAAGATCAGTTTTCACGGAAAATGCAAACAACAACATATTCCATTTGGCCCATGTGAAAGTGTAAACAAAAAGCAAATGACCTCCTCTGCCAGTCTTGCTTTTCTGCTACTTGCCGAATATGTAATGAACAGGTTCCTTCCCTTTGAGTGAAACACTTCCTTTGTTGGCAGCAAAAGCAAACAACAGCTACCGCAACAGCACGCTGGAAAGCTAACGTTGATGATGCTCTTGCTATATTGCGGGTCAGAGGTCAACAGTGTGTGCTGCTCAGCCACGCAGTGCATCACCACACCCTCACTCACAGAAATAGCACTGAGAGACTATGTGCTGTGTGTTACAACTTCACGGCATGCATTCTCACATCTAATCTCCTGATGTGAATTTTTCAACCTTAGAGCCAAAACTAGACTTGAATGATGGTTAAACGACATGCAAATCCGGTGTTACAAAACTTTCAGCAAGACTAGTTGAATCTGAAGATGCAACTAAAGCTGTTCTAAACAAGGTGTTCACCCCCCGGTTTCACAGACAAGGCTAAAGCCTAGTCCTAGACTAAAATGTAAATCTGAGCCGTTTCAACTGAAAGAAACTTGCACTGACTGATCTAAAAACATGTCAGTGCCTTTGTTTTTGTCTTAAGAGACACACCTGTAATGCTTTTTTCTAAGGCATGTTTATAAAAATTACTTAAATGTCCTAATTGAACTATGGCCTAATCCTGGCTTAGGCTAAGCCCCGTCTATGAAACCGGGCCCACGTGTTTTTGTGTTCAAGTGCTTCAGGGAAACCTGCAACTGCTCAACCAGGTGCAGTTGGCAAAGATTAGTTTGAGAAAAAACTGAAGGCTGCAACTCGGTCTGAAATGTACAGAGCCACCGTGTTCAAGCCCTGTACCTACCGCCAAGCCAAACTAACCTCCCCCTGACCTAGCTGAAACTTGCAACAGTGGCCTTGAAACAGCAACGTACCACTCCATTGTCAACGCACAGGTTTATTCAAAGGCTTTTAAGTGAAACCAAAGACATACTCCACGCAAGAGGTGGTGGCACCTTTAAAATACTAGTGGACTATTTAGGGAGGACATGGCTCATGCAGAGTTAAGCAGGCTCATGCAGATTATTGCCATAATGAATTCAAATATGACCACATCATTATAAAAGTCAGGTTTCTGTAAAAACATTCACCCACCTGTACTTAGCCTGGCAGAGACAAGGCTGCGTGAGAGCGGGTGTATATCTATGCCAGGACAGGGGAGGGGGAGTGGAAATGGGGAAGGCATGGCGCAAGCGAGCATACGGATGTCATAAAAGCCTGAGCTGATTCTAGAAACCCCTGGGCCTTTCTAGCCAAAGAAACTTCTATCTGGTATGTGAATTAAAAGAGGCAAGACTTAAGTCCAATACACCGGAGGTGAGTCACGGAAATAAAAGCCCACAGGGACATGCAACACACACTACAGTCAATGAATGAATCACTGCTGCTGGCACATTGTGGAATGATCCACTGCACCGCACACAATTGGCTTCTTTAATAAGAAATAATAATAATAATAATAATAAAATAATTGTTAAAGATCAAAGAAGAGATGAAGACCCTCTGAAGAAACAGAGAGAGAAAGACACTTTCTTGTGTTGCCATTTTGGTACTCCAAATTTTGAAAAGATTTCATTGAAGTTTTATTACTTCCCGACATTGCAAACATTTGCGGAGTTAAGCTCTTTATGGTTCTTTAAAGTTTCAGTGTGCGGGAAGAGGGGTGTGTGAATGGCTTTCTTTGAGGGTGTCATTAACTAAAAGCAGTGGCAGTTTTTGGAGTGAGAGCGCATGAGTGTAGTCCGAGTTAAAGGAGACCCGGGCACAGTGACAACTCCTCCCTCCATTGGCCCACAGGAAACACCTTAATCTGGTGGGGTGAGCGGCTTCAACCAGTCAAAGCAAAGCCAGGCTAGTGGACACATCCCCACCCAAACTCTGCTCCTGCAGGTATGCACACACACTTTACCTACATTTCAGTTGGTCTAAAAGGAGATCAGCCAAATAAGTTTAGCGGAAAATGAACATTTCTTCAAAGCAATGACTTTTGGAAGCTGAAAATATGGCATCCCTGTGCACTTTCCTGTTGTCACAAACTTCAAGGGGAACGCTCACCACCTGGTAGGAGACCATTTGTGCAGCATAGCAGCTTATGAGGAGTCATTTGACAATGTATAACCTTCTGTTCCCTCTACGCCAACACAATAATCACCATATTAAGATTACATTTGCAAATACCCACGTGGCTCACCTCCTCCACTCCCCAATTTAATTTAGAGACACAATAAACAGAGATTCAATATCTCACTCTTCAAGACTAACATGTGAGCTGAAAACACACACACAGTCACACACACGCACAAATTTATATGAATATGTCTGAAGCGTATATTCTAGCCTTATACATTTCATTTAATCACAAAGCCTCTTTCAGAGCTACAGTAGCAAGAGTAGTAGCAGGCAAAAGTCAGGTGCACAAGCCCAGCTGAAACCTCAAATTCCTGCCTACCAGTTTTCCACTGTCAGCTCTTTCTGCAAGTGTGTGACCACCTTTGTCCTACACACACACACACACACTCTTGGTTATCTTTGTGAGCTAGTGATGGGGTGTGAGCCTGAAAAGAACATGGACAAACGAAAGGAAACAGAGCAAGAAAGCGGCAGAGATGTGACTAGGTGATCTCATTACAGTGGTCACCCCATCTGTGTTAGTGTCAGAGATATCGCAGCTGGGGGGCACACAATGGAAAATCCACAGTCGCAGAATGCAGTCATTTTTTAAAGCTATCATTCACTGATTCAAACAAGTTATGATCATGATTTATGACACAACTGAACAAACAAAGGGGGTCAATTTAAATGACAAAAGTGAAAGTATTTTTTAAATTTCTACAACAGTAAACTAGCCCATTATGCTTCACAAGGAATGCAAAACAAATGTAGATATTTTATACTTTTAAAATTATTTTATTTTCTAAATAAAAACTTTTAATGAAAGATGAAAAGGAAGATGTGAGAAAAAGAAAGTGATCAGGATGTAGGATGGAAAGGATGAGAAAGAATGAAGAGGAGTGAGTGGCAATGCAGCGCTGCGCAAGTCTGAACAAAGAAAACTATACATCCATAGGTGAAGTCTATGGCAATCGACGACCAAGCAGTCCTTTGTTTAGGAAACAAATATAAATGGCAACATGCAGCTCAGAACATCATCTCCAGAGGTCATTGTTCTGCAGTCGTGCTCTTTTGCACAGTAACAAAAAGACACATTCAAACTTCTGGTTCTACAGGTGATGGAGCTGATGGAGCAACCGTACTTTGAAAGACAACACAACCATAGACTGACACAAACACTGACACCACATACACAAAACCGTTTAGCTTAGGGTTTGTATGTACAAATTAGAGGGTGCATTAACATGAGAAAAAATTGTGTGGCAGAGAGTGATGACAGTGCCATTGAGGGGAAACAGCAGGCGAGGGCTGCCACGTCCCGATCCAGGGGGAATGAATTAAAAGTGTCACCAAGCACATGGGTGGTTTAAACAGTCCGTCAGGGACGCTCACAATCATATGTAAGACCATACGGGCTCTGTCCACATATTATCATGATGCACTGTCACCATCCGCTCCTAATGAATGACTAAAAGACAATCCTTGCAGCTGAACTCTTAAAAGAGGCTATTATATGATGCAAATTATTTTTAATAAAACAAAATTACAAAACAAGAAAAATGTAGTACAACTATCAAGGATTACACATCCTGCAAAAAGCATGATTCTTATATTAATTCATGTTGACAACAGTGCGTGTTTCCACACAAGATCCAGGACATTTCCCACACAATAGGACAAACACTAATTGTCATTGTGCTCCCCTGACAGTCTGTTCAGAGCGTCACAATAGCCATTAAGACAGAAAAGACGAAAGCAAAGACAGTGACTGTGAAAAAGCAGAAGAAAAGAAGAACGGTGTCTCTCTTACCGTCCTCCTCGGGATCCTTTTTGAGCTGCATGTATACAGCCTGCACTCAGCTGTCTGCGACACGAGTCCTCTTATTCTCTCTCTCCCTCTCCCTCTCTCTTTCTCTCCACCCTCCCTCGCTCTGCCTTTCAGACTAAAGCCAGAGGGAAAATCCCTGCTCCTAAATTCAGATGCTGCTGGCTTAACAAACCCTCTCAATGGAGAAGTCGGCAGCAGCCAATGAGAAAGCAGGAGGGGAGGTGGACACAACCATATGAGACAGAGAAAGAGAGAGCGGAAAGCTCTGGGGAATGATGTAGGAGGGGAGGGGAGGGGCGCTCCTCCCAGACAGAGACAAGGCAAAGACGCTAACACACGCTGAGGCGAACACAAACTGGGACACATGCATCGAATCACTTCACAGCCACATTGCTAGAAACGTCAGATTACAAGATGCTGAAAGTGTGCTGGTTGCCCAAACACTCATTAATTAATGAATTATTTAATTAACAGAACAACATATATATATATATACACATATTAGGGATGCTCATATTTCATTTCATTCATATACAATATATATATATTAGGGATGCTCCGATCAGGA